CTTCTGTGCTGCTGATTCCAAAATATACAGCATGTCACAGAAGGCTCCCTTCTCCATGCCTCAGCTTCCTCTTCTCTAAGATGAGCAGGTTTAGATAATATCATTTCTAAGGCGCCTCAGACTTCCCCCTTGCCATCTTCCCATCTCTGTTTATTCATATGAATAAATCTTCTCTGATGCCTGCAGTCCACTTTCTCCCCTACAACATTCAGAATTCTTCTCTCCCTTTTATCTGAAGCCTTCCCAGTTCTCCATGCCTTCTCTCCTCATAATGGGACTACAAGTCTCCATACCTTAGGATCCTTGATTTAGAGTCTGAGGCGCCTTAGAAATGATATTGTCTAAACCTGAAGCATTACGTGCCCTTCTTCTGTTCTAGTCCTCCTCTGGCACCTTGTTCTGCCATAGAGATGACCCTGAGCTCTAGGAGGATATGCTGTCATAGAGAATGCTCTGGCTGGTCCTGCCACATAGTTCTGAGGGTAGGCCTGGTAATCAGCTGTGATTGTGACTAAGGCTCAGCCTGGTGAGGTGTTGAGAGATTCATCAACAGAAGGTCCACCACCAGGTGATGCTTTGTTTTTGACCACAGCAATTCCTGAAGACTGTCTTATATGGCATGGAGGGGTTGCACTCTGTGTCGTTGGAGGGAGTGCTCACAGTGATGAAATCTAGATTTTTTTGAAGGGTTTTAGTGAGTATGGATCTTTACCTCTTCCTTTCCATAAACAGCTTATGATGATGTGGACAGAATGGGGGCTACTAAGTTTGGTGCCCAGGACTGTCAATGTTCACCTTCCCCCTGATTTTCTTGGATAAATAATCTATGTCTGCACTGGTATACTGTCCAGATTGGAACTCTGGTCTTCCTGATTTTAGGCCCAGCACTGTCTCACCTAGCTGCTGATCTCAAAGGTTGTCTTATATCCAACACCCTCATTTTACTCGAGGAAACAGACCCAGAGACATTGAGTGACTCTCCTGAGGTCACACAAATTGGGACGGATAGTGGTGGGAGTTGAACCCAGGTGTTTTGACTCTAAACCCAGTACTGTCTCCATCGTACTACACTGCTTCCCCGTGGTGATGGTGTGTGGATGCAGCAGGAAAGGGTCTTAGAAATAATTTATTCCAAACCATTCTTTTTATAGACCACACTGAGGCTTCAAAAGGGAAGAGATTTGCCAAAGGCCACATTGCTTATATTATGAAGACTTAGGTTGTCTTCGATCTTGACTGTGACAGCCTTGAACAGTTGGAGAAGGTGATAGCTAGAGGGAATGGGTGATGACTGGCACTCATTTTGGTTAATATAAATAACTGTTTATTGAATACTTACTATGAGACATTGTGATAAGCACTAATAAGAAACAAAAAAGGACTATATCTTTAAGGATTTGGGGTGGTGGTTAGACAAGTACACAAAGGATGCTAATGCAAAGCTTAATAGAAGGGAATTCAGCTGCTCTTTATATCAGTGACCATCCTCTTCTTTTAGATATTCTTTCTCCATCTTAACTGCTGGGTTTTTCTTTTCTTTTTAAATGTTTTGTTGCTGTTATTTCTTGGGTTCTACTATCTAAATTTTTGTGACCTGATCTACTCCCATGGGTTCAATGATCATCTCCAAAACAATGACACCCACATCTATATACCTAGCCCTTACCTCTCCCCTGAATTTCATTCCTGCACCTCCAAACACTTGCTGGATAGCTCCTCTTGGATATCCCTCTGGCATCTCAAACTCAACATATCCCAAATTAAACTCATCCTAAACCTAGCCCTCTTCTAAACCTCTCTTGTTCTATTAGAGGGCTCTCCCACCATCCTCTCAGTCACCCATTTTTCTCATCTTTTGACCCTTACTCTTTCTTATCCCCCTTACTGAATCAGTTGCCAAGTCCTATCATCCATCCTTTTCTCTGTACTCAGATTGCCCTAATTCAACTCCTCATCATTCCTTGTGTGGACTATCATAATATCCTTCTAACTGGTCTTTCTTTCTGCTTTCCGTCTCATCTGCCTCCAATCCAGCCTTCACAGAGTTGTTATAATTATCTTCTGAAGCATAGGTCTGACCATGTCATAAGATCATAGATATAGAACAAGAAGAGACCAATTCATCCAACTCCATTATTTTACAGTTGAGGAAACTGAGGCCAGGGAGGTTAAGTGGTATGCCCACGATCACAAATAAGTAGTCATGGTCAAGGGGAAGATTTGAACCTAGGTCCTCTGACTCCAGTGTCAGTCCTTTTTTCACTATGTCATTCTTGCTTCCAAAACTTTCATTGACTTCCTATTGCATCTGGGATGAAATAAAAGCTTTACAGCATGCTGTTGAAAGCTTTTCCCAGTTTGGGTCCACCCTGACTTTCTAGCCTTGATTTTGTGTTATTCCTTGCCTTTGCTCACTCTGTGTTGCAGCAGAATTGGCCTGCTAGTTATTCTCCAACTTCCCCCATGCCATCTTCCCACCTCTGTTTATTCATATGAACAAACCCTCTCTGATGCCTGCAGTCCACTTTCTCCCCTACAACATTCAGAATTCTTCTCTCCCTCTTATCTGAAGCCTTCCCAGTTCTCCATGCATTCTCTCCTCATAAATGTGCTTGGAGGCACTTTATCTTTTCTCTCTCTTATCCCCTGCACTCTCTCACTTGTATTAGACTAGTCTGTGCTGCTCTTGGTAAGCTCCTTGAGGGCAGGGGCTTTCTCCATTTTGTTTTTGTATCCCTACTGTCTCACAGAGCACCTTGCACTGAGTAGATGTGTGTTTGTTGAATTCAACTAAATTGAAGGGATAGAGCATGTAATAGGAGATCAGAGGAGGAAGAAGACAAGGCTTCATAAAGGAGGCAGTGTTTGAGCTGGGCATACACAGAGAGATATGGGAGTAGGGTAGCATAGGTGAAAGGAATAGTAGGAGAAAAGGTAGGGAAATGAATGCTGCATTCAGCACATGGTCGGTGCAGCAGTCCAGTGTGCTGGGAACATAGTCTATTTGTGGGGAAACTGTGTGATAATGTTCAGTCACAGCCAAGCTGGGAAGTGTGAACTGAATTCTTATAGACAATAGGGAGGCATAGAAGATCTTTGAGCAGGAGAGTGGTATGATCAGAATGTTGTTCCATGGTAAAATGAATTCAGCAGCAGGTTTAGAATGTATTGGAAGGGAAGAGATTGGAATAAGGAAGACAAGATTAGGAGGCTATTGTAGCTGTCTAAATGAGAAGTAATGACATCCTGAACTGAGATGGGGGAGTAGAAGTGGGTGTGGGATGAGAAAATAGGGGATGGCTATAAGGGATATTTTGAAGATTGAATTTTTAGCATTTGGCCATGATTAGATATGGAGAGTAAGGGAGAGGGGGAATAAAAAAAAGATGACTCCAAGAGTCTGAGACAGAGTGCCTGGCAGGTTGGAGGTCCCATCAAGAAAAACAGAAAAGTCAGGAGGAAAAACAGATTTGAGGGAGAAGAAGAGTTTGGTTTTAGACCTGGTGAGTCTGAAGTACAAGTGGGGCACCCCAGTGAAGACACCTGGCAGACAGTTAGAAATGTGGAACTGAATCTTAGGAGAGAATCTGGAGCTGGAGAGGGAAACCTGTATTTCTCAGTGGCTTCTCTTGTAGACTCTAGCCCCAAGAAGTCTTGTAATGGAACAGTGATGTAAGCACAGGTAGCAATTAATACCATTAAAGTATATTGTTAGGCCTTTTTTTTTCAATTAAGCTGATGTCTTTGTCTGGTGTTAGACTCAGTATATTATCAGCTTTGGTGTGTCTCTGTGAGTGTGTATGTATGTGTGTGTGTGTGTATGTGTGTTTTGAACATATTCTTATCATGGATGCCCCTGGGTGACCCAAGCAGTTCATTTATCCTTGAGCCTGATCAACCCCTGACAACCCAACCCAATCCAACACCTGGAAAAAATGAATTGTACCTTTCTGGGTCATAATTACTTAAATGGGAAAATAATTTACTCCCTCTCTGCTCCCCAGAGCCCCATTTTCCTTCTCTGTGAAACAAGGGACTTGAACTCAATGACCTCTGAAGGTCCATTCCCAGTCTGAATCATCTGTTTTAAAATCTATCTAAATTCTGTAGTGTTATAGGAGCTGAACCCTTCTCATCTCAGAGCAGAGCCTTGGACAGATCCAGGAACCCAGAGGTCATTTGGTGAATGCTGGAAATGTATTTCCACTTGGAAATAGCTGATCCATTATCTCCTTTCCCTCATAATAGGCAATCATCTTGCCCCACCCTCTGAACTTTGCTATTTCCTAGGAGACAAACTAGCAAAGAGAAACATTCTTTTGGGATGATTTTTCCCCCATGAGGGAGCTGGATTTGGAATCAGAAGAGCTGAGTTTGAATGCTGACTCTGATACTACCTCTGTGACCTTAAGCAAGTCACAGAAACTCTTGGGGCCTCTGTTTCCTCATTTGTAAAATGAGGGGGTTGGGTTAAATGATCTCAAAGGACCCATTTAGCTTTACATGCATGGCCCTATTCCCTGGGAGTGAGGCCATTTGGAAATTTGTTGTAACTCTTCCAGAACCTTAGGAGTGCCTCTAGATGGAACCTTAGAGCCCTGACTGCCTGAAAAGTGTGGATGGACCTCACTTCATGAATTTTGCCATGCCAAATCAGCAGTTACAAACCAGATAAATCAAGGGGAGGGAGCCTTATTTTCATCCCAAAAGGATCTATCCTACTTGTAAAGTAAACATTCTGGTTGTGGTGTCTTTATGTGACCAGTTCTTCCAAAGCATTCAAAGTACAGTTTGTTTTATAAAAATTCAATTTCCATGCATGCCACTGTGGAGCACTGCTGTTGTAAACCATCCGTTGGCAGTCGGCAGAATTTGTGTGCTTCCTGAAGGGCTTCTTCCTCACTGGAGGATAGCCTGAGTCTGGGGAGAAATTAGCTTACAGTCTACAGGCATTCATCAAGCACTGAGCATGCTCCTTGTTTCTGTGTCTCCTCCACCAGTGGTCCTTTGTAGTGGCAACGATCACAGAGATTCCACCAGTCATCTGTCTTCCTAACTTCGTGGTGCAGAGGCATGTTCTAAGGCCTCTAAGGACCCAGACAGGAGGAACCATTATGGTAAGATGAACCCGTGTCCTCTCTGCCCTCTCATAGATGGGTGTTGGTCGAGAGCGCAGTGGTGAGGAAGAAGATGGTGCTGGAAAGAAAGGACAGATGTCACTTGACCTTCCCTTTCATTCTCAGCTCCTGGGTTACTTAGGACCAAGCATCAATCCCTTGTTCTTCCAACACCTGGTATAGAGTCTTGTCCCTACTTTCCTTATCAATGCCATATGTTCATGAGGCATGAAGGCAAATGGCACTAGCTCCTGTTGGGTTGTACCAGCAGGTCTTATCAGCTATGTGAGCTCATTTTTGGCCCATTGGGAAGGGAGGTAGATACCAGACAAGAAATGACTAGAATTTAGGGAGTATTAGGACCTGAAAGGTCCTTAATAAGTAAATGATTGTCTTAATTATTTTTCCTATGTTAGAGAAGAACCAAGAGCCCATTGTCAATTATACTAAAGTTGAATGGACTGCCTCAGAAGGTAATGAGTTCCTTGTCTCTGGAGGTCTCCAACAGGAGACTGAAGGACAAATTGAGAGTCATGATAGGGATTCCTGCTTTAGGCTTGGATTGGATTAGATGACCTCAGCAGAGAGACTCTGAGGTAGCTGTGGTACACATGAAAGTCCCTGGAGTCAGAGAACCTAGGTTCCTATCCCACCTCTGGCACTTGTGACTTGGGGCAAATCCCTGAACCTCTCTCAGTCTCATTTTCCTCACCTGTAACAGAAAGGGGCTAAGCTAAATGCCTTTTGAGGTCCTTTCCAGTCTATATCTGTGAACCTACGAGCCATTCTGGCCCAGAGATTCTAGAATCATGAGATTCTATGTGTGGATGATTCCTTTCTGTCTCTGAGTTTGTGGCCATCTCTGAATGTATCTTGGATATCTGGGAGGGCAGTGAGGGATGGGCAGGGTGTGTGCTCCTTTGGGCCAGATGAATTTGTCAAATCCTTATTAAACACCTACTCTCTGGTCAAACTTATGTTGAAGTCTAGGGAAAGAGGCATTGCTCCTTCTCAAAGAACTTAGAGGGGAGATAAGGTAAATCTGCAAGAAATAATCGGGGAACAAGTTAAAGATCTATGTGGCACAAACTGATCAATCATGACAACTATAATACTAACAATTCCCTTAAAAGGGAAGCAAATCCTTTTCATCTCCTTTATCTCATGTAACCCTCCCAACAGCCCTGTGGGGTAGGTCATAGGATCGTAGATGTGGAGCTGGAAGGACCTTCTAGTTCATCTAGTCCAATCCCCTCCTTTTACAGATAAGGATACTGAGGCCCAGAGAAGTCATATGACTTTCCCAAGTTCATATATGAAGTAAGTATAGGAGCTAGGATGTGAGCTCAGGTTCCATATTCTTCCACTGAACCATGCTGCATCCCAGGCATTGGGTATTATTTCTCATTTTTCATGAGGCCCAAAGATGGGACAGGACTTTCCAAAGGTCACACAGTTGGTTCATGGAAGAGCTAGGATTAGAACCCAGGTCTCTTTACTCCCAACCCAGGGCTGTTTTCAATAGATTACGCTTTCTTTCCTCAGGCGACCCGAGCTGTTATAGCCGGTCCTTCCTGTACCCTGTCATTGGTTGGCAGCTTTGAGCCAGCATAGCTCATTAATAATACACCCGTCATGAAATATGGATGACCAACTTCCCCAGGAAACGCATATGCTACATTCTTCACACCTGAGAAAGCTCACTTTGGGCATGCCAACTTGAGAAAGGTGATCCCCAAGGCCAAGACTAAGACATGGGGTATACAATATTAATATGAATTTGGCATAGATAATCTGTTGGGTGGTAGAAAAAGATGCAGTGGACAGATTTTCTCACCATCACTGAGGGGATTGAATGACATGATCTTGGTTTTTCCTTCCGACTCTGAAGTCTAACATCCTAAGTTTTTAAATATCTGAGATCAGCTTTAAAACAGTACCCAATACTTTGGCTCAGACCGGACTCCTGAGCCAACATCCTGAGCACAGTCCTGGGGATCTTATTAAATTCCTGAATGTCCTTCAAAACCCAGTTCCTATAATGGACCTTAAGCAATGCCCTGGCCAAATGGGATTCTCTCCCCATTCTGTGCTTTCCTAGCATTTTCTTTGCACGCCCCCCCATTAGACTTATCATAGTCTACCTCGTGTTTTGGTTATTGTGTACATACCTTATCTCCCCCTACTAGACCGTAAGCCTGTTAGGTTTGGGACGATGTTTTATATCACTTTTCGTCTCTCATGGTGCCCAGCAGAGGCCCTTGTACTAGTACGTCTTCAATTAATATCTATTTAGTTGAATCAGAAAAGGGTTATATAGTTCTCGGATTAGATGCATTCAGTCGATTTATCCTAAGGGAAGAGGGAATGGGGCAGTGCCCAATAGAGACAGTTACTAATGGGTAGGCATTTCTAACTCTTTGAAGGGTTTGGAATGAGCAATGTTGTCCTCTTCCTTTGGCTGACCTGCTGTTCCTCTTCCCCCACGCCACCTCCCAACAATACTATAATGGTTTACCTTTATGATAGGGGTTCATGGCTCTCAAAGTGCTTTCTTCACAGTAATCCTGTGAGGAAGGCAATGCAAGATGAAGAAATGAGGCTCATAAGCGCAAAGTTGATTTGCTCCCAACTCACAGCTACTCAGTAGCAGAGCTGGGTTTGGAAGCCAGATCTTGTGCCTCCAAATTCAGAGCTCCTTCTAGGCCTCTCCTCCTTTTTCTGCACCATTGCTCTGTGATCAACTAGCCAAGAATGTTGCCCAGGAGGCTTAGGGCTTCACCACTTCTGGATTGTTCGGTATAGGAGGATAGGTCCCCCTGCAGACCTGCTAAAATGCCTTGGTATTCATTCTGTCTCTATGCTTATTCCCAAAGGCTGGGAAACTGGCTATTGAACGAGGCTGGGCCATCAACATAGGTAAGTACAACAGGGAATTCAGTCTGGAAGAGCCTTGGGCTGTGTGTGTGTGTGTGTGTGTGTGTGTGTGTGTGTGTGTGTGTGTCCCTTTCCCTGCTTCTTCAGCCTGAGTACTCATTGTTGGCTTTTAGGAGATGGACCCTTGAGAAGTTCAGATTTGTTTGGACCTTTTGTTGGGTTTGTTTTTTTTTTTTTTACAAAAATCCAAAGAATTTATTTTTTTACAAAATCCACAGAATCCTAGTACTAGAGGTGATCTGATCTAACCTTTTCATTTTATAGTTGAGGAAACAGGCCCAGAGAGGTGGAGGTCACACAGACCCGGGAATCAAGCTGGGGTCCTCTGACTCTCTAGCCTAGGATTCTTTCCCCTGCAGTTCTTTCCCATAAATGGTATTGTTCTCCAAACTCTCAAGGATAAGCCTTGTCATCGCTAGGGTTGGCTTCGTGTGTGGGAGGAATGAGCCACCACCTAAGTGGTATAATTTGTGGTGCCCAGCAAGATCCCTCTGCCCAAAGGTCTCTCCCCCACTGGTTTGTCATGAAGTCTAAAATGCCACCCCTTGGTGTCATTTGTTAAAAGCTTTCTGGAACTTGGATCATCCCAAGATTATGCATAGGTAGGAGGTAGGAGGACACACACACACACACACACACACACACACACACACACACACAC